GGATTGAATGAGCACCTCCCGGCAGGAAAGCTAGGCACGAGGTGAGGTAAGGAAAGCGGCAGTTCTCCACGGAAGCAGTGTTTGGGCCGCAAGCGCAGCGGGTCTGGGCGCAGGGCAGACGTGCAGCCTCATGCCAACACTTTCCTGGCCAGCTTGCAGTCCTGCCACGGCCAATTCGCCTTGGCCATCCTTCCCACACCTGCATCTGCAAACGGAACAGGCCAAAAGCTGGTGAGTGTCACACAGCGACGCCTCCCGCCTTCCCCTGTGATTCACGGGAATGAGGGAGCCAACGGGGCCTGTTCCCGACAAACTCGTGCTCGCTCTGCCCATCTCTGTGTGATCCCCGGCACGAACACGTCTGGTCGGTCCCGCTGTATTTCCGACCGGCCGCTAACTCCCTCCCGAGCAGCTGCCTCCCTGTCCCCGTCCTAACGCAGCCCCTGCAGGCTCTCAGCAGCAGCAGGCTCCGCTGGTTTGTGTTACACCGGTCGTTGATGCAGCCTTCGGGGTGACAGCCCTCCCGTGGCAGCCTGCTGGCTGCCTGCTCGGGGTGCAGGACGGCACGGGGAGCCGTCCCGCGCGGGGACGCGGCGCAGCCCGCGGCACGGCCAGCGCAGGGGCCGGCGCCGACGCGCCAAGCGCACAGGAGCAGAAAGAACTGGGATTACCTGAGCTTAAAAAGGCAGCTCGCTGCAGACACGTCAAATCTCTAAGCGTGTAAGAGACTGCGGAAGGCTGGCAGCAACCCTGCCCCAGCTCCTGCACGGGCAGGACAAGCAATAATAAAACACGATCCGCAAGGGAGATTTAGCCTTGCTAAGCTGAGCTCTTGCTGGAACCAATTGCTTACGGAGTCTCCCTGATATCAGCTTTTGGTTCTGTGCAAACGGGGCAGACAAGTATTGGAACAGCAGAGCTGCACCTGCGTTTGGGCAGCGGTCAGCCTGACCCCGCACCGGGGCTGCAGGCTGTGATCCCCGCGTCCTGACGTTATCCGAGCCCTCCTGTAACGACACGTCCTGCGCTCAACCCTGCCAACGCAGCGTGCTTTGTGGGGCTCTCTTCAGCACAACTGCAAAACACTAATTGCACTCTTCTCACCTTCTAACAGGAATAAAATCATCAGGTTCCTGCTTAACTATAAAACAGAGTAAATACTGAAAGTTGATTTGGAATTCAGAATAAATAAGTGTCAGAAAGAGAACTTTTTTGCAGAAACCCTACACTGTGCACCTTGGATTTGATGTGATGCAGCCTACTCGCGCAGCGAAGCAGCGAGGTGTACTCACCAGCACGGTGTTCCTGGGAACGGTGCTCATTACTGCTGTATAATAAATGGAAGCATAAGTCAGCGTTAGCACCGAGCAGATTGTTTGGGGTTGCAAAGACAGCAGCTGTCACAGTTTGACAGCTTTCTTGTTAGTGAATCAGCTTTGCTGACAGTCTTTTTGATTGAAAACCACTGTTCGCTGACAGTGTGTTATATCTGATATACATATGTATCTCATGAAGAATGAGAAGGAGCCATAAAAGGTCCAGGAGCTATTGCTCTGTATTAAAAAGAAGTCCCCCCTTCCCTAATCTGCGGCAGATGTAAGCTTGTAGAGACAGGACAGCCTCTACTGGTATGTGACAAGCACGGAGAGAGGGAAAGACGAGTCCTTCTCCTAACGAGAAGCAATAAAGTCCCAGGAATCCTCGTTGCTTCCAAAGGCTCTCAGGAAGTTTGTGTAATTCAGAAGAAACAGGCCTGTGTGGAGCAGACAC